CAAGCACAAAATGCGCTGCGGATCACTTCTTGCCACCAGCTTTAGCCTTCGCCTTTGCTTTGCCCTTTCCTTTTGCCTTGGGGCTGGCCTTCGGCTTGGGCTCTGCCTTGGGTGCACAGCCAGTATATTATACATGGGGTTTACAGGAGGGCAGTCGTGAGCACTATCTAGCTATAGCTAAGGTACAAGCTTCTTCTTGATCATCGATGCGGCATCCTGGTATGCCTTCATGGTTTCCGCCACTGCAGCAGTGCATGCATCCTGCTTCTCTGCGGACTCCTCCAAATCCTCTGCCTTCAGAATGGGAACAGGTTTATTAGGGTTTAGGGTTCAAGGTATTATGGTGTAGGGTTTAAGGTTTGTTCGGGTTTAGGGTCTTGAGTTGTTTAGGGTTCAAGGTATTATGGTGTAGGGTTTAAGGTTTGTTCGGGTTTAGGGTCTTGAGTTTATTAGGGAGTTGATTAGGGTTTAGGGTTGAAGGTTTTAGGGTTTTCTTGGATCACGGTGTTGTACTAATATGGTTCATATAGTTTAAGGTGTGCATGCTTTAAGGCTGGGGGCTTTCAATGCTTATTAAGGCCTTTTGGGTAGTGGTGGTGCAGGATCGATCGAAATTATACTCGCTTTGGGCTTGTGGCTTTAGGGCTTGCTTCCTTTCAGGCTTGGGGCATTTGGTGTTTAGTGGGTTATATATAAGGCTTTTGGGTAATGGATTTATCGGTTCAGTTACTAAACCTAAACTAGTAGCGAATCGTATCCCTCACACAATCCCCTGCCCTAGCAACACAACCCATGCCTCTCCGATTATCTCACTCCTGCAACAGCCCTTGGACCCTTAAACCCCAAACCCTAATAAACCTTAAACCCCAAACCTGAAGGCCTGCAGCTTCTCCTTCATCTCATTGAGGTTGCCACGATGCAGATGGAGCTCGGCGACATAGCCATTGCGGAGTGGCTCGGACCTGACAGCAGATCATAAGAACAAAGAGCTTAGGGTTTAGGGAAAAATAAGGGTTTAGGGTTTAGGCTTCGAACCGAAGCAGAAGTTGTGCATCTTGAGACAAGTAACATGTGGGGCGGCTTGTCTTTCAGCTTGTCCAAGAGGTCGTCCAGCTCGGTCACCTTGTCACTCAAAGCCTTGCCCTTGTTGCGTGCGACTTGTGCCCAGCCAGTCTTGGACTTCCTGAGCCGCTTCAGCTCTTCCGCTTCCTTCTGCAAGTCCTCTGCTGATCCTAGGGTTCTAAGTCCAGCCGGCATCGGCAAAGCAACGGATCCAGAGGCCACGCTGCCGCTGCTGGTGCCATTCCCGAGCCGCAGTGCTGCCGGCCTGCAGTTCATAATAGGGTTGGGATACTAGACTATGTAGGCCACTAATTTATGGTCAAAGGTTCAGGCAAGGGGCAGAAGCTGGCGAGTTTGCATCCCATCCAATTGCATCTCTGCCGACAGAGACGCCTCTGTCTCCGTCTTGTCGCTTGCAACGATCTTTGCAGAATCGAACACACGAATCAGCTCCCAATCCTGGGCGGGGCAGGGATATCGAGTGGATTAGTGTGTGATTCAGGAATTCCAACTATTTGATTCAGTGTCTGGCCTCCGACCCCGGGAGGTCAGGATGGGCCAGGATGTACGGGAGGATGCTGTCGTCAGGCTTTTTGTCCAAAGCATCCTGGAGTGCACGTTTCTCATCTCTAATGAGCTTGGCAGTCAGTGCCCCGTGTTTCTTCTTCAAATCCATGTACCGCTCGTAGCTGTCCGCACACTGCAGGTCTTTGGATTTCTTGCTCTTGGCCGTAGCAACGAGTGTCGATTCCATCCATTGCCCATTGCAACTCAAGTACTGCACGAACAAGTCGTCCAACCGTTGGCTCCCTCGTAGACTCTAGGGTTTAGGGTTTGGGGATTTAGGGCCATTTAGGGTTTAAGGGTTTAGGGTATTGCGACACTGCCTTTCTTCGTCTGCATCATGGCATCGACCACTTCCGGAGGGCAAGTCTTGCCTCGGTGACTGATAAATATGGCCTAGCTAAAGATAGCTACCATGAGGGGAAAAGTTTAGGTTTATTTTAGGGGAAGGCCATTGCATTCAAGATTCTTTTTGTGCTTCGAGAGAACTTCATGAAGCAGTTGTGGGCGACTCTAAGGATGTGTTCCTGGTGCGTCTCCTGCTCCCGGCGCTTCACGGTCGCCTCCTGCTGCATTTAAACTGATCGAGCCATGTATGTATATATCTATACAACCCGATCTTTTAAAAGTTTGAGATACTAATTTATACACTTATTACATCTCAAGGTAGCTAGTCTCCTGTATATTGAAGGAGTCGGGGCGAGCTAGCACTTGGTCGATGAGGCCAGCATCGATAGCTGCATAAACTGCACCGCCTCCCTTCGGCTTTCCGGGCTTCGGCTCATTGCCGGCCAAGGACTCTTCGGGCGATGTCTGCAATGGCTGCATCGGGGCAGCGTTACTCCCACCCTGCCAGACAGAGTGGTTCTGGGGGTCAAGGGTTTCTGGCTAGTTGATTATAATCCATAGCATCCTGAATCCAGACTATAGAACATACTGATAGTTACTTTAGGGCCTTTGGGTTTCAGCTTTAGGCCGTAGGCTTGATGCATTATGGCTTTAGGCCTTTAGGGCTTCTGGTTTGGGTTAGGTATGTTAGAGAGGTTTCGGGTTTTCGGGCTTAGGGTTTTAGGGTATAGGGCACAAGGCCTTTAAATTAGGTCTTTGAACTTAGCATCCGGTACCTCGGCCGAGCCCGCCAGCATCACGGATTTCCCGGCCTGCAAGAGCAAGAGATAAGGATTGACTAATTAGGGCTTTAGGGCTTTAGGGCTTCCGGTTTAGAGTTAGGTGTTAGAGAGGTTTGGGGTTTTCGGGTTTAGGGTTGTACGGTATAGAGCAAAAGTCTTTCAACTTAGCATCCGAACACAGGGAGAAAAGGTTCTTGTCTCGAGATTAGAATTAGAATGTTAGGCTTCTAGGGCTTGGGGTTTTGGGTTTGGGGGTCTAGCCTCCTACCCCTAACCCTACCCTAACCTACCCTGCCCTATGCAACTACCCCTGCAACCTGACCCTCCCACACCCTACCCCCTCGGACCCCAACCCCTACCCAACCCTAACCCTACAGTGAGAAGTGGCCTCATCCGAGGAGGCTGGCGCCGGCGGATCTGGCTGGAACACAGCCGGTGCATCCTGCAAGCAGCTGCATGTCTTATCTAGGTTGCGGAGGATTGTTTCAAAGTTGAGGGTTGGGGTATACGCAGGGCAATATATTAGTAAGCCAAGGCAATAAAAGCTTAAACCTTCAGATTACTAATTTACAAAAACCAAGACATCTAAATGTTGGATGTGAAAGATCGTACTTAGTGGGGCCATTCAGGGTTTTAGTGTCCTTTGTCCGAAAGTCATCTGCAAGTCCCATCTCCAGCTCCTGCTCCAGCAAACTGTCCAAAGCCTCTTCATCGACATCCATGGGGTGTTCTCCACACTCCTCAATCACTGGCATGGCCATTGCACGGGGTCTCAGCTTAATCCAGGCATCCAGAATCAAGCCGGCTGCTGTCTCCGTCTTCTCACAGACATCTGGCTCCATGGTGCCGAGCTTCCCATCACACTCCCCATCTTTCTTTGACTGCCAGACAATCACCGCCTGGGCTCGGCGATGCATCTCATCCTCGGTGATCTCTCCTTGCTCGAAGCTGTGCTTCAGCTTGTGAGTCATGCTCTCGGCCTGACGACACACAGCTTGGCGAAGGTGCTTCACCTTCTCCTGCTCGGCCTGGAACTCACGGATCTTGGCCATGGCCTCGTTGGCTGCAGAGATGGCCGGTGCGAGGGCATCTGCACACTTGCCGGGTTTCAGAACTGCACCTGCCGTCCGTGCCGCACTCACTGCACGGTCCAGATCCACAACTCCTCCACCCAAGACATTGGTGGCCCAGTCGGCCAAGCTGGCCATCTCAGCCTGCTGTGTTGCATCCATGGCCGCAGGCTCCACAGTATCGAGCTCCAGCCCAAAGTAGTGCCGTGCCAACGTCTCCATTAAGGCCGTGGTATGGCCTGGGTCCAGACCACCTTGCACATCAGTGGCCTCCCCACTGGCACTGGATTCATCTGGGCCCATTGAGAGGGTGGTCATGGTGTCCATGGATCGTAGGTCAGGTCCTGATAGATAATTATTGGAGGGAGGGACAAAGCTTTTAGTCATAGGGGTTTAATTAATTCGAGGAAGTTTCCCAAAGGGTCCTAAGTACCTATATAGGAGAATGTAGGGTCTTTATAATAGGAATTAGTATTATGATTTAGGGAAGTATGCCCCCTAACAGTATATAGGACCCTTTGGGTTTAGGGTTTAGGGTTTTGTGTTTAGGGTTTAGGGGTGTTCTTATATAAGGTTGAGGATATGGTTTGGAGCAGGGTGTCGGGTGTTGTGTTTTGTTGGGGGATATCCACGATCTAGCCTTGCGGGTCTGAGGTGTTAGTGTTTCTTAGGGATTGGAACTCTGTACCCGGAAGCTATCCTGTACCCTATATCCGGCTCGGTTAGTCTGAAACCGAAATTTAGGATCATTCCTGGAAACTAGACCCACCTAGGTACCCCTGAGCCCAGTTCCCACACGAAGCCCTAAACTTAAATTGTAACTGAGGAACCACTGCCTTCCACAGCGGCATCGGCGCTCGGACACGACAGGCCACTCGAAGCATTGTCCTCAGGGCCAACACAGTAGGCAACATCCCCCTAACTGCTTCCAGTAGCTTAGGTTTAGGGAAGTTGGGTTTCGGGTTTAGGGTTTGGGGTTCTGCTGTTTGGAAGATGTTGTTGCACTTCAAGTGCTACCATCCTCAGCCACGAAGAGAGTCTTTGCTGCGGGGTCATCAGACATCCTTCTAATCTTCTTCATGCTTGGGCTTCGGATCGGTGTGCTCTTGGGAGTTGCCATTTTCTGTGGCGTGGCAACAT